GTCCTCCTTGGTGAACACAAAGCCCACATTTCCCTGGATATGAGGCAACAGTTTTTCCAGAGCCGGGTTGTTTTCCAGGTGCCCCTGGATGGCCTTGTGCATCATGGTGTTCTTGCCCATTGGCACCACAGCCTTCCCTCAGAGGAACATGTAGATCTGCTGCATCTACTTGGAGCCCCCATTGCTGCTCCTACAATGAAACATTTCAGATAATCATAGAAAAATCGGATGATCTGAAGGAAGTAGTTGGACTTCCAGGTTGCTCTGTCTTCCCTGGGCTGCATGGCAGTGTGTCGGGGTTGCCACCAAGGGTTTAAAGGTGATGTCACTTTCACAAGGATGCCTGATGAGAGCTAGAATGAACATTCTAATATTTGACTTTTGGTGACTATATGCAGGGCAGATGCCTAGGAGAGGAATTGCTCAGTCGTGGGCTGTGTATCCATTCTGCTTTTGTAATGACTGTCAAAGAGTTTTCCATAGTGGTTGCACCAATTTGCACTCCCACAACCTCACCCACACTGTGATTCTGTCTTTTTACTTTTATCCCCTCCAGTCAGTATGTTGTGGTATCTCTTTGAAGTTTTCATTTGCGTTTCTCTGATGAATAATGAGAGGTTGAACACCGTTTTTATATGTTTATTGTGAAGCTGAAATATTTTTATTACCAGGGTGTGCAACATAAAAACTTTCAGGACTTGGGAAGAGGAGGATATTTTCTCTAATTGCTTAGACTAGTTTTTTCTTAGACCATTGTGAGGAAAGGAAGTTCCATCTTCTGGTGCTGGGACAGAAAAGGGGAACATATGAAAGGGAGGTGAGGACCTCCACTTTTCGTCTTTGCCAGAATCTGCTCTGGGTTTGACAAGAAGCATATTCTGTACCCAACAGCCAGTTTTCTCCTGCCCTGCTGTGATGTTCCCCAAACTTGGGGTAGACGTCCCTCCAGTGACTGGCTGACTAAGGCTATTTTACTGCATTCAGAGAGAAGCAAAATCTTGTGGTAACCTATAAGCAATTCAAGTGCAAGAGTAGGTGATAATTATTGATGAAAAAAGTTGCATCCACACTTCCTATAATCTCAGCTACTTATTTGGCCTCTGCTTGCATATTTCATGGAGAGTGGGATCACTACTTCATGAGTGGCTCATTTCATTTGCTAGGCCATTTTATTCCTGATATGAGCAGAATCCGCTTTTCTGTGCCCAGAACTCACCGATCCATGCTATTCTCCTTGGGATCACTAATAATAAATCCACGGCCTCTCTCTTTGACATTTGAAAGGCCTGAAGACAGCCACTGTGTGTCCCTAAGTCATCTCCAGATGAAACGCCCCCTTCCTTCAGCCACAGCTCATGTGACAAGGTGCCCAGAGACCTCACCCTTTTGCTCATGTTCATTTAGATGAACTAAAGGTTGGCTTGTGTCTACCTTCAAATGTAGTGTCTGAGTTTGAGGCTCCAGAGGCAGTCTGACCTGCAGAACTCCCGGTACCTGCTGTTCTCTTTGCGCTAATGCTCACACCTGATCCCACATGGATGGCTCCTTCCTATTGTTCATGTTGCTACTCGGACATCCCCATCTCAGATCAGCTTTTCCTTCACTACCCAAGCTAAACAGCATCCCTCTTCCCCGGACACTCCTCATCACTTTGTTTCATTTTCTTCATTTTCACTTTCTTATTTATACCTTTTGCTGAGTTGCTTTTTGTCTGTCTTCCTCCTCATGTGAGCTCTGGGAGGCAGGAATTCTGTGTATCTGGTTCGCTGCTGTAACTCCAGGGCTTGGCGCATAGGAGATTCTGTGTCACATACTCTCACACAGGAGAAATTTGCTTTAAGGAAACAATAGATGTGGTGGAGTTTAGATTTGAATTCCAGAAGTCTGATTCTTGATCCTATGTCCTGAACCATTATTCGTGTTGCTCCCACCCTAAAAGTAGTGTAACTCTGTCTTGCACATATAGCCTTCCTCTGACTCTGTCAGATGCTGCATCTCTGTATTTGTCTTCTCCACATGGAGCATTGACTGGGCCCCAGTGTGTGCGGCCATCTCCAACTCAGGCCAGACTGGGTGTGATTAGCAGAAGGCCAACTGCCTCTATGGCCAGCAGGTGGTGCTGTTGGGAAGAGAAGAGAAAAGGGGTCCCCAGTGGCTTCTAAACAAGGAAGGACTGGTTTTGAGACTGGCTGGGGAACCGCGTGATGAGGGAGGTTGAGTTGAGAAGGCCCTGCCATCTGGCCACCTCTTTTCTTTCAACCATTTTCAGATGTGAGGCAGGTGTCCGTGGGAGAGGAGAGCAGGAGTGGACAAGTCCAGATCTGCTGTCCATGGGATTATTGACAGGAGCAGGAATGGTGGTGGTGGCCCCCAAGATACCACTTCTCCTGGTCAAGACCTGCCAGTTCATGCTTAAACAGGCATAGGCTGGGAACCTGCTCATTGACCTAGTATTTGATCACCCCTCACCAGCCCCTGCTGCCCCCACCCCTGCTGATGGAGAATGTGGCTATGGAGGGGGCAGGCAGTGGGAACTAGGCCTCCTGGGTTTACAGTTTTCCAGAAAAATCCCTTGGGCTATAAGTTTCTCCAGCATGGAGGGCCTCGTTTACTTTCTCTCTGTGCTCCCCTATCTGGAAGAAGGCATCATGTCTTATACACACAGGTACTCAGGGCAACCAACCATCCCAGTTTGTCGGGGACTGAGGGAGTTCCCAGGATTCAGAACTTTCGGTGCTAAAATTGGGACAATTCCAGGCAAATCAAGATGAACTGGTTACCCTATCAATGAAAGGGATTGTCCAGGTGGTCTGGAGGCCAGCACCCTCCTTTGTCTCTGCTCAGGGAGCATGCTGGTGGCCAGCCGTGAGGGTGTCTCAGACCTCAGTTGGATGGGCCCTGTGAAGTCCGGCAAGAACACAGCCAGCCCCAGGAGCTGTCATCTGGGCTCTCATGCCAACAGGAGACATGTGTCATTCACACACAGGCAGCTGGTAGAGGACTGCAGACCCCCGGGGCCACTGCAGCACAGAGCCCAAGCTGCAGTACTTAGGAGCTAGGCTGAAACCACGGAGGGCTTCCCGGAGGTCAGGTTGAAACCCCTGGTTTGGCTGAGGCAAACAGGCGAGAGCCCTGGGTGGGAGAGAGGAAGGTGCAGGCAGAAAGGAATCTGCGATGGGTTGTCAGGCGGAAGAACAGGCGGATCACTTTGGTGCAGAAGAGAAAGGGTATCTGGATGGTAAAGAAAAGAGTTGTAAAAGGGAGCAAACACACTAAACCCAGCTGGGAAGAACGAGATTGGAAAGCAGTGAGGAATCACTGTAGGGTCCTACTCAGGGCTGAAGCATTTGTGGGTCCAAAAACATTAAGAAAATCCTAAGTCTGGGCGAGCCACTTCCCATCACTTACCTGTCTTCCTCCTTTCCTTTAGTTTCAAGGCATGGTCACACATTCTGCTGGTCCCCAGAAGTCTGGACCCCCTGAAGAGCCTCCCAGGAGTGTTCTGGAAGCCAGGGAAACTTCCTGTCTCCTGAGCTTGTGGTCAGGTCTTCTGAATCTCCCTTCGTGGGAGGCTCACTGCCCCTGGGTCCCATTTCCACATATAAGTTAGAGTTAGAGGAGTCACAGTATTTGATGGATTGGGAGGAGCTGGTTGTCACCCACTGGCTTGCAAACCTCTAGTTCATGGGACACAACGCATCCAAAGGCAGCTCCTGTCGCCGTCCAATAGATCTCATTATAAGAAAATTCTTAAACTGAGCCCAATTTCATGATTTCTGCCCATGGGTCCTAACTTTGTTCTTTGGCACTTCACAAAAATCTCACTCCTCCCCATAAAAGCACTTAAAATATTTGAGTTCAGCTGTCCCACTCTCTCGGGTATTTTCTTTTGTAGGCTAAATATTTTTCAGCACTTCCTGATGTGAAAGTCGTTCAGGCCACTGCTCTGCTTGCCTGCCTCCTGGCGCTGTCACAGGTTTCCAGAGCCTGACTTGGAATAGCAGTTTCTCCAAGAACATCTTGAATGACTGCGTGAATCCGCAGCTCCTCCTATGAATTCCTGTCAGTTTGTACTTTTTCCTCTTGGCATGTGGGGCCCACAGATCCACTATTGTCTCACGTTGAGTTAACTGTTAACTAGAACCCCTAACATCTCCTTAGTAAGACCCCTCCGTACTTCCTGAAAGGCTCAGCACAGAAGCGGCAGCTGGGGAAGTCTGAATGCTGTGTCCTAGCTGTCCCTGTGGTCTCTGTGGCCGTGGACCTGGTCTGTGTCTTTAGAGACCAGGCTGCAGCAGCAGTGGCCCAGGCAGTGGCTGGGGCAGACCTCCGTGAGCACGAGGAGGTGTGGAGGTCCCTATGACAGAACTAGATGAAAGCCTGCTGGCTGCTGGGCGTCTGCTCACCTATCTGCAATCTGCAGACTTGTCCCCTTCCTAACCGTAGAGGCCTCCCCCGTAATCAGCAGATTTCTCCTGTCTCTGATAAGTCTGGACTCTCCCTGTTCATTAGCCCCGTGCTCCCTCTTAATGCCTGGGTGTCTGATCTTGGACTCCAATCTGTGCATGCCTTTGATGCTGGAGAACAAAGAGGTTTCTTGGACTTGAGCCAAGCTGGAAAAGTGTTTTTGAACAGAAGCTTCACTGATAGGAAGGCCTCTCTGGTGCATCTCTGAAGAATGGAGCTCTGGGAGCTACTAGCCCTAGGGAACAGCTGGTTTATTCCAAAGTTGGAAAATGGATGAGAAAACCTATTTTAACTAGGCAAGGAGGCAAGAGAACTGTGATTCAGGCATCTGGAGATGTTCAGGTACTTGAGACACCCAGGAGATTTTCAGAAAGGTACCCTTGGTGCATGTGGCCTGCAGAAGAGACAGCTCGTAGCTCTGTACAGGGATACTGACTGTTTGCTTCACCACAGTCTCTCCAGCACCTGGCACAGTGACTGACACCTGGTAGGTGATCAGGGAACATGATTTAGGTGGATAAATGAATGAATGAGAAGACAGTTTTTGGAAATCTTTTCTGCATGCCATAGCACTTTCATTACAAAAGTAAGAGATCCTTTCTGGAGTCAGAGGGACTTGGGTGAGCATCCTGACTTCACCACTTACTGGCTTTATGACAAGTTCCTAAGCAATGGGCAGCATAGGAACTCCCCCAGCCTGCTGTTAGAATCTCCATAGAGAATGTGCGTGGAGTTCAGGGCCTGGTCCATGTCACCCACAAACTCAGTGACCCTCAGTGTATCCAAACAACTGAGACGTAGAGCTCCACACGCCCTACAGGGATGGGCTCTCCCGGCCCTCCACCTCCTCCTCAAGAGGTTTGAGGAGGGAGGGGGACCGGTAGAATGGGTAAGAAGCTACATCCTCCCAGGAAGCTGATCCTTGGCATAACTTCCTTGGGGCTCAGGTCGGAGCTCGGGCCACTGCCGAGGGAGCAGCCTGTGACTATTTCATGTCAGTACAGTGCCCTCTTGACCCGTTCACAAATCCCAGTGGCCACTGCCTGTGTTTCCTCCATGGGTAGGGAACAGTAGACTGGTTACCCAGGCCCCAGGCCTACCTGAAACCTGGCCAGATGGCAGGGCAGACAGTTTTGGTTCTCGAGTCTGCATTCATCTCAGAGGCATGCTTCGCTCTCTCCTTTGACACAGATGCTATGTTTGTAGGTGTCATGAATTAACTTGGGATCCTTCTTCCACACATCTCCCCTCCTTTCCATTTCAGCCCTTTCCTTTGGAAACCAAGGATCAGAGAGGAAAGATGTTGTAGCAGAAAGAACCTGGACCTGAGGTTTTGAGTGTGGGCAGGTCCTAGCCCCTTCCTGGATTTTTTCATGTGTGAAGTGTACAAGTGGGTGAACCTAGGATATGTTGTGGGTAGGGTGGTCTCGGTGACCTTCAGGAGGTCTCTTCTGGAATTGCTGTTTTATGCACCGGTGAGGTCTGTATTTTATTCCTGTTTCAGATTACTCCCCTCCCCCGCCAAAGGAGGAGACAGTTATCACAAGGACAGTGAGGGGTTTGATGGTGGAGAAAAGAGAACACACGTCAAGTCAGATATCAGCCTTAGGATCAGCTTTATTTTGTATTTTACCTTCACCAGGGAGAAGAAGGCAAGGAAGCTGGAGAACAGACCAGCCTGCATCACACAGACACAAATCACATCTCTAAAGAGTGTACATGGTGAGAACTAAGGGCCCACATTAGACCAGCTATGAAGCACAGAGATTGACAAGGGCACCAAACATCCATCTCATCTTTCCCTTCTGGTTGTTTGGATTCAGTTATTTACACACTTTTGGCTCATTTTAAAAAAGCACAACCAACATTTCAATGTTCAATAATTTCCTGTTCTTTTTAATGTACAGGGACAAAATCAACCAATTTTTGATTTTTGAAACACTGCAAGTCACTTTGTCTCAACACCTATGGTGGCGGCGGTGGTGGTGGTGGTGGTGTTGGTGATAAGTGGAAAGTCCGTCAGAATTCAGTTTGTTTTGTGGCTCATTTGATAGCCTGAAACTCTGAAAGATGAATGAAGGCATCCTTGGCTGTTACACCCCCAGAGCTGGGTGAATTTTTGCACCAAGGAAGCTGTGCTAGGCTTCTGTGGTCTTCCCTGACAGTCACACCATTCCTGCATTTGAGACCTTCATCAGACTGCTGAGAACAATGCTTATTCACAGAGGATGATGAAATATAGAAAGAACCATCTTCAGAGACACAGACCAAGTCCTGGAATGCTAAGGAAGCCAGGAGGCAAGAAGGTACATTGCACACAGAGGTACCCACAGAAGAAGGTCACCAGAGCACGGGCTGGGGTCAGGGTTTCATCTGCTGGCCATCTTCTTGACCCCAGAAGACATATGAGCAGCTACTTCCCCTTGCCAGGGGATGAGCACTTCTCCTGGACTTTCTGTGGGCAAACCTCCACACATTTTGTCTGGAATAGCTCCTGGCATGGCTCTGCACACTGAGGTGGACATTGATCTTGGCATGGAGGTAGGCATGGATCTTGGCCTTGCTGTGGGCATTTTTCTTGACTTAATTCCTGGCACTGAGAAAGACATACCTCCTGGGCCTCCACTAGACACTTATCTTGGCAAGGGTGCTGGCACGTGGGGAGGCACACCTCCTCAGCCTTTCCCTGGCACTGCTCTTGGGTCTTTTGGAGGCATGGAGGGGGCACACATGGCTGCTTGCACTGCTGCTCACTGAAGGACATCTTAGGGTGATTTGCAGAGCCTGAAAAAAACCACAATATTCGAAATTATCTGCATTAAAAATATTAGTGTGGGAACTGGGGAATAAAGCGTTGAGAAAGAGGAATGAGGAGTGGATGGAAGAACTAATGGAGTGGAATGAGGAGTGGAAGTAAGAGCTGATTTCTTGGCTGCTTTTCATCTCTTTCTCTTTTCTATCCTGGCCGCAGCTCCCTGTGGCACCTGTCTCTAAGGTGGGAGTATTCTCATGGCCTCTGTCTAGACATCCATAGCTCCAAACCCCAAGTCCTACCACAGGTTTTTTTTCCTTCTCTTCTAGTCTATGAATCCTTTTGAAAATCAGGTGCAAGAGACTAGATAGACAAATTCTAGTCTGGATAGAATATACAGGATAGTTTATAAGGCCCAAGAAATGGCAAACCACTTAAAAAAATCAGTCGAAAGTACAGTCCAGAGGAGGAACAGAACAGTGGCCGCCTAAAGACAGAGTAACAGGAAGAGAGAGGGCACAGATGCCCCACTTACCTGATCTTCAACAAGACTCAACAAAGGCTGTGGACTGTGAAGCCCGGTAAGGTGGGACTTTTATATGGTGCTTAGTCCAGCCTCCTGCGGGACTGACTGGCCACATGGGCTGTGGTACTAATTGTGGAGTCACCGTAACAAGCTTCCTCTGAAATCGCCGATGGTTTGAGTCACTGCTTGGGATGCCTGTTAATCAGACTACATTTTGGCCTGTGGGTCCTCATCAGACCTCAGCAGGGAGGGCCTTCCCTCAGATCTCTCTCATCAAAGGCAGCAGGAAAAGAATGTTCATAAAGTGTTATCTCAGTCTGTTCAACCAGGATTCCTTGTCTGCCCAAAGTGGTACAGGATGTGGTGAGAGATAAGATCCACCTTGCTCATCTCATCTTCGCCAATGGGAAGACTTTATGCCTAAGGCCTGGGGCCTCTCTGGGTCAAGGGCTTACATGGCTTGTTGCAGACACTTCTTCATCAAGCCTAGAAAGTCACCCTTCAGATGCAAAGACGAAGGCTTGCCCTGTGGTTCCAAGCGAACAAAAGGCTTTCAGCCTGCTGAAGAGAGTGATTTTCCTGCATGGTGGTCTTGATGGAAATTGGGATTCATTTGTTACTCTTGGGTTGTGAAGTGGAGTGAAGGGGAAAAGAGAGGAAGGAGAAGGCAGACAATCTTCATCTTCTCAACCTGGATTTATGACACCCTTCTGAAAGTGGAGTTACTCACAGAATTTTCATAGTGACCAGGAGAACAGGCTGGAACAAAGTTAACTTGTCTCTTTGCCTACTGGAAAACGTTTTCTTAGAACTCAGGTCAATAAAAGTCAGGGGATGAAAGGAAAAGTTTCAAAGCAAACACATCCAGTTTTCTCTACCTCTACTTTCTAGTTTGGGCTGTTAGTTTTTACCTGGTGTGTTCTCCCTGTGCCTGTGGAAATCCTAAGCATTCTGCAAAGCTTTACTCATGTCTACCACCCTCTGAGAGCCTTTCCTGATTACTCTAAACCAGAAATGAATCCACTTCTCTATGAATTCCCATGGTATCTATTGTTTGTATTATTCATATGACATTTACTATTGAAATTAGGATTTTCCAGATATTTATATATAGATCTTATTTTTTCCTGGGTTATAAGTTCCTAGAGGATAGGTACTATGCCATAGGTATAGTAAGTGGAAGATGATGGAAGACAAATGATTATTGATGGGGTAAATGTATTAATGAAGGAATGAAGAAGGTGGATGTGGGAGAGCTGGGAGTAGAGGAAAATCTCATTTAATTGAAAATGGGAAAAGATTTACTTTGAAAGAAGCCCCTAGTTCCATAAAGTGGTGGTTCTGTGTTTGTTTGCTGAAGTTCATATTTATGAAGTTGAATTTTAAATATGATGATGTTCCCTTCCTTTCTCCTTAATTTGAAGTTATGTTCAATCTCTTAACTTGAAGTGGTAGGTTTAAGTCATTTCCTAAGAAAAATATTTGGCTAAAATCAGAAATGTCTCAAATGTTTATATAGATTTTGGATGCTTGATACCTGAAAAGTTTTTAAAAGGTAAGCTGGGGAGATCAGGAGGCATTTTTGACCTTTAAGACTGGTTCTCAGAGGTTAATGTGACATCACCATGAGCCCCATTGGTGTCCTGGCAGGAGAGAGAGGCCTGGGTGTGGAGGGACTTGGAATACCCAGCTGTATATCTGAAGACACAAAGTCATTTGGAGCATCTGGGAGAGTAGGTGTAGGGTGGGAAGACTCATCCTTCTTTTTCTCCTCTTTTTTCATCTCCTCCTTTCAATCTTCTTTGCATTTTTCATCTTTTCTTAGAATGCCGTTGAAGAGACAAAGCAACTCTCCTGTGTCCTAGAAAACAAGGAATTTTCCATCACTGAGTTTAATAATATGTTCTTTCAGTCACTCATGGCCCCTATGTGATGTCAATGCCTTTCCCTTCCAAAATGACTCACAGTTTCATGGAGAATATGGCCAGAGGTAAGCTGCTATGCTCCAGAGGAAGGCCCCTTCCTTGGTTTTGGGTGGAAGGTTGTGGAAGACTCATGGGGGAGGAGGTGTCTGTGCTTTGTCTTATTGGACAGTAGGAATTACCCAGGCTAGGAGGGTGGACAAGGGCATTCTAGGTGGCCTCTAGGAAGGAATCCTTGTTGGGAGGCTGTTGATGTACAGAGATACAAGGGAGATGAAAGGAGAGGTGGAGGCCAACTTAGGAAAGGAATGAGCAAGAGACTCTGGGAAGACACCCTCTTGGCTGGGATTTCTGGAAGTTTCCTGTGACAGGATGCATGAGATGACCTTGCTCATGTCATGTACATGTCTGTGACTTTGGTTAAGCCCAAGGACAAGGAGACTAAATAGAAATGTGCAGAACAAGAGACTACAGCATGTTCTTATGGAGGGGAGGTGAGCCCAGTGAGGTAGAGCCCAGAGTTTGACTCCTGTCACTGGATGCCCTGCCTGCCGTCGAGTTGATTCATGACAGTGGAACAATCTTGAAATTGACCCAAAAGTCCTCCTGTTGTAGGCAGAATAATGGCCTCCTAAATATGTTCGCCACCTAATTGCTAGAATTTAGGTTACTTGGCAAGAGAGACTGAAAGTAGTGAATAAAATCAAACTTGCTATTCGGACGACTTTAAAATAGGGAGATTATCCTTGATTATCCAGGCGTGGCCAACGTAAGCATAAGGCTCTTAAAAGCAAGAAGAGTCTGTCAGAGTGATGTGATTTGAGAAAGGCTTAGCTGGCCATTGCTGATTTTGAATATGGAAGGAGTCCACGAGCCAGAAATGAGGGCAGCCTCCACAGCGTGGAAACAGATTCTCCAGTAGGACCTCTGGGAAGAGGTGCGGCTTCGCGGGCACTCTGATTTCAACCCGGAGAGACTTGTGTCAGCCTCTGAGCTCCAGAACGCTCATAGTGTTCACTTTTGTTGTTTGAAGCCACTAAACTTGTGGAAACTTGTCCCAGAAGCAGTAGAAACCTAATAACCTTCCCAGTGCTGGAGGCTCTTGGGAGCTCTTGAAGAAGGAAGCCTCAGATGAAGAATAAAATCTCATTTGCCATTCCCTCATTTAAATATATTCTTGCTCGTCATGTCAGCATCCTCAATCAAAGGCTAGCTTTTGATAAAGAGGCACTGAGCTGGGCGCAGTGGCTTACGCGTATAATCCCAGCACTTTGGGAGGCTGAGGCGAGTGGATCACTTGAGGTCAGGAATTTGAGACCAACTGGCCAACATGGTGAAACTCCATCTCTACTAAAAATACAAAATTAGCCGGGCATGGTGGCGGGCGCCTATAATCCCAGCTAATGGGGAGGCTGAGGCAGGAGAATTGCTTGAACCCAGGAGGTGGAGGTTGCAGAGAGCTGAGACTGTGCCATTGCACTCCAGCCTGGGCAAAAAGAGTGAGACTCTATCTCAAAAAACAAAACAAAACAATAACAACAAAAGAGCCACTGAGATATATGGAGAAAGAACTCAGGATCCCATTCATCTGGGGTTGACTATCACATAGAGTATATGCAATATTGGATAAGTGATTTAACCTCTCATAATCTCAATTTCCTCTTGTTGAGAAAGGAAAATACTATTTCACAGATTTCTTGTGAGGAATAAATTAGAGAATGTATGCTCCAAAACTTAGGGCCATCAAGCTACTTATGAATATTAGTGCAATCTGAATCGGTTCAGGACTCACCTCCTCCATGAAGCCTTCCTTGATTGCCCTGGTTCTTCTTGTTCTATGTCCTTTGCTCTGTCCCTCCAATACTTGATTTTTGACTTGAATTTTTTTTTTTTTTTTTTGAGACCGAGTCTTGGTCTGTCGGCCAGGCTGGTGTGCAGTGGCACGTGATCTCAGGGCACTGCAACCTCCGCCTCCCAGGTTTAAGCGATTCTCCTGCCTTAGCCTCCCGAGTAGCTGGGACTACAGGCACGTGCCACCACACCCAGGTAATTTTTGTGTTTTTAGTGGAGATGGCATTTCACCATGTTGTTCAGGCTGGTGTCGATCTCTTGACCTGATGATCCACCCCCTCGGCCTCCCAAAGTGCTGGGATTACAGGCGTGAAACACCACATATTTTTCTTTAATACAGGTTCAAATTCTGCCGTGCATTTATCTCTCCACGTGTGTATCATAGAACATCTAATACATGCCCAAAGCCAAACTGCTGATCTTGCCTCAAAAACTCCTCCTACCACAGTCTTCCTCAGCTCTGTAAGTGGCTTGGCCTCCTCGTCTTTAAAATAGGAAAGTTAGACTTTCAGTCAGGTCCATCCCATCTCTGACATTCTGTGATACTATAAATGTGATCATGAATGATCAGCTTGGGTAACTATGTAACTTTGTAGTGTGTGGACACGTGTGTGGGCACTTTTTCCTTGGTCAGGTGGTAATATACCCACAGGAAGACCCAGTCTTCTGTCTTCTGCATGTGGCAGTGGCTCACCCAGTGACTGATTGACCTTAGGTGACCTGTCTTTTCCTACGTGTGGGAGTATTTGGGGTCTGAGTCCTCAAAAATCAATCTTGGTGGCTCAGTATCTGGGGTTGTGGATTAGAAAGCTTTGGAAAAATTGTCTCACCCCAAATCTTAAGATAAGATGACTAAGTTGTTTCTGTGATCATCCCCAGCCCTCCAGCAAGATTGGAGTTAATCTGATTTAATGACATCTGAGATTTAAGTTTTTAGACTTCTGGAGCTGTCATTATTGGGAGTCAGGGCATAATTAGACAAGATCAGCAGGAGAGTCTCAGGTGTGTGCAAGGCAGTTTTTTTTTCTCCCATTCCCATCAAACAACTATCTCCTCTGTTCAGATCTTAAAAGTCCTCAGACTCCTCTGATGCGTTCATCTGCATATTACAGGGCAATGTCTCTGATAGAGCTGAATGGTGCAGAATGTGGTTTCCTGCAGAGCAGGTGCCACTGGGCAGCTTGCGAATTCCTGGGGGAACGTCTACCACCCCTCTCCTTTCCTTTCCTCCTGTGTCACCCACACAGGGGGTCTGAATCGGAGGTGCGAATTCAGGAAAGAGCTGTCAATCACAAGGCTCAGGGCCAGATGGGACTTGAGACGCCACTTGATTCTACCTCCTTGTTTTAACCCCAGCACGTGCTTTAAAAAGGAGACACAGAACTATTTATTGATTGTGTTTTTTAGATGAGGAAATTGAGGCACAAAAGTGTTCAAGGTTACATGGTCAGGTCATGTCTGGTCTGGGCAATGGTCCACATAAAAAACGTTTAGCAGACCAGTGTATTGGGGATTCCTTATAAGCTTTGGGAAGACAACAAAGACGCAGACCAGCCAGTGACTGTTCATAGTTTGGGATCATAGGAAATACTCATATGTACATGCCGTCATCTATAGGGTGTCCAGGGACTCCAGGTCAAAGACCACCGACACAGACGGTGGGGAGGAAGGATGTTCCCCAGTTACTTACATTTGTTGTATATCTTCAACATTTTCCCTTTTGAATTTGAGTTCTGGTGCACCTTGGCCTAAATCAGGATTAGAAATCCTGGATGCCTTCTACAACCAACACCCTGTGACTTTGGTTGTTCCTCTCTCTGGACCTTCGCTTCCTCATGTAGACACTGAGGATATTTTAAATGCCACGTTCAGTTCTGATATTCGACAATACAAGCATCTCCTTCTGGCTCCTGTTGTGGGCCCAACCTGGGAGTGGCGGGGTGGCCCCTAACTCTACTTGCCTTCAAAGATATTTGTCATCCTTTTGTGGAGCTCCCTGTTTCTCCCTCAAATGTACTGCTTCACACAGCAGGTAGCAGGAAGCTTTTGCTGCAGTAGGTGATGGGTTGTGACTCCAAGTGTGTACATAGGTACTAAAGTACTGTTGGCATCTTGGCTTCCTAAGTGCGGTTGCCCACACTAGGGACTTGACATAAGTTATCTCACTTCATCACCCCACCCTTGCCCCTTGGTGAGACTTTTCTTCTCATTCCTCAGGTGAAGACCTTGAGCTCCCTTCTCCCACTGAGGCGAAGCATCTTGCCCGGCTCCACAGCTGGCTGGTGCAGTGCTTGCTTGGAGCGCGTGTCTGTGGGATGCCAAGCCCTTTCCCTTTCCTTGCTGCTGCGTGAGGTGAGGGACCCACATGGAGGTAGCCTGCATCTTCCTGGCAAGGCAGGAGGAGGGTTGGCAGCATCTGCATCTTGTGCCTGAAGGAGAAAGTGTCCAAAGGCAGGACTGCGACAAGGGCTAGGGTTGCCTTTCAGCCCCAGGCCACTCATGCTGAGTCCCCTTCCTCTCTCCCCACTGTCCCGTTCTGGGGAAGACTCCATGCCATGAGGTTAAGGAGCACAGTGGACAGGGGCTCAGTCCAGAGCAATCCCCTCTTGTTTGGGAAAGTGGCTCTGCAGCCTCTGAGCATCCACTCATTGGTTATTACTGCATGTCTGCGATGTGTGCCCGGCTGCCCCTTCTCAAAGGGCAGGCTGGTGGGACAGTCAGGTTACAAACACGTGGCCAGAATGTGGAGTGGTAAGGAGACAAAACATGGAAGCTCTGAGACCACAGAGGGGCATCTAGCCAGCTTGGGGGTGGGACATGGGGAAGATTCTTGGAGCAGGTGACCCCTGAGTTGACTTAAAGGGTGAGGATTTGCCCAGGTGGATCATTCAGAGGAAGATTCATTGGAGACAGAGAAAACGATAGAGAATGGAGTGTAAAGTCACAAAGGCCAGAGACTCTGTGCTGTGTGCCAGGAAATGCCAGCAGTTACTTGTTACTGGACTGTAAAGTTCTAGAAGGAGATGGAGAAATGGCCCTATGGCTAGAGAAGGAGGCAGGGGCTAGATCCTAAAGACTTTTGCATGACAGAATGTTATTTGAGCTGCCCTCTAGGCAAAGGGGAGACTCAAGGGTTTTAAGCAAGGACATCATGTATAAATCTGATTTTAGCAAGACTGCCTTGGCTGGTTTCCACTGGAGTAAGGACTGAAGGAAGGTTAACTTTGAAAGCCAGTTAGGAGGGTTGAATGGTGTAGGTGAGAGATGATGAGTGCATTTCTGGGCAAAAGCTATGACTCCTTAGTCTGAGAAGGCTTTCCTTTGAGCCTGGGAGGGGGCGTATAGCTCTCGAGATGAGACATGAGGTTTCCTGCACTTGGAAGACAGGTACAGCTGAAAATATCCTGGTATGCATTTTACGATCAGTTTGTATCTTAGAATCTTTACGTGTTTGGCAAATGGCTTAGTGTTTTTACTGATCTCTTTGCTGGGCATCAACACCTGTGACAGGGAAGCAGTTATGACTTATCACTAATAAAGCCTTCTAGAATGTGCCTGTGCTCGTGTGCTGAGCTGCAATCTTTGGTCATGTGGGAACAGGACAGGAAAAATAGGACGTTTGGTAACTAGTTACTTCCTCCCCTCTCCCCAGTTGCCATTCATGCGTGGAGGTGGAGGATGCAGGAAAATGGTCTCTAAGGTTCCTTCCAGCTTCAAAGTCAGACACCCCCGAGGTTCTGTGCCCAGCCCTCACAGTGCCAGCCACCTCACAGCCAGTTGCCTGATTTGGGAGGGCTTAGAAGCCCTTTTAGAAAGCTAGCTGTACTCTGCCTGATTCTCAAGAAAGCACAACGCAAAGGGGTCTGTGGTGGAGGCTCCTTTTGTGACCATCTTAATGGATCCTCAGAACTGCTTTGTCATGAAGGGAGAGGTCTCAGTCCTGCCCGTCTTGTTATCTGGGAGTCATCGAGCCTGGTGCTGCACAGATGCCTGTGATGTCACTCTTCAGGCGTTGCTTATTTATACAGCCCTCTACTGTTTGGGGCAGAACCCTGGTGACTGCCGCTGGGGCTGGGAGTAATTATGGCATTCTGCAGGGAGGTGGCACTCTCATCATGTCCCTGCCATCTCCCCAGAATTGCCTTTGATCCAGCTTTTTGTTGGGAAAGTAGCCATTAAGAGATGTCTATCTTGGTTGGGTGCCGTGGCTCAAGCCTACAATCCCAGCACTTTGGGAGGCTGAGGCAGGTGGATCACGAGGTTAGGAGATCGATACCATCCTGGCTAACATGGTGAAACCCTATCTCTATTAAAAATATAGAAAATTAGCCAGGCGTGGTGGTGGGTACCTGTAGTCCCAGCTACTCGGGAGGCTGAGGCAGGAGAATGGTGTGAACCCGGGAGGCGGAGCTTGCAGTGAGCCGAGGTCGCGCCACTGCACTCCAGCTTGGGCGACAGAGCAAGACTTCGTCTCAAAAAAAAAAAAAAAAAAAATAAAAAATGAGATGTCTATCTTTCGTTCCATTTACATGGGAGAAACGAGACCTAAATTGGCAACGAATGGTTTCATGTTCCCAGAGCTGGCCTCCTTTCAGGCTGTGCCCAGAATTCGCAGAACCACCTGGGAGGGCACAGCCCCCTGACCCATTCTCCCAGGCCTGGGACTGAGATCCTGCCCCTGGAGGGAAGGCATCCACGGCGAGGTGCCTTCGTTGTGGTGCATAATCCCTAAAATGTTCTTCCTTCCCTGTTTTTGTACATTGAGTAAAATAAAGGACTTTGGGGGTCTCTGAAGTAGTCATGATTATTTCATAAATTGTTGATTATTTCATGATTATTTCTTTTTTAACCCATTACAAAACAAAAACATGTGAAAATCCAGATGAAAATAGAAATAAACTACTAGTTACCCATAACCCCACTGTCTTAAAATAATGAGAATATCCACAAATTTCCTTTTTTTATTATTATTACATTATCAAGGAAGGTTGTGGTTAAAGATAATGGCTATATGTTATATTTTCAATTGAGGCCTTACTTTCTTTAATTCATTTTAATGTATTAAGTTAATTTAATACAATGAATAGATTAATACATTAAAATTAAATTAAAATTTATTTTAATGTTTTAAAATTATTAAATTTAATATAATAATTGTATTAATGTATTATTAAATTTAATGTCTTAAAACAATGTTTCATCATATAATAGGTTCAAGCTTATTTAATCAAACCTTGTTAGATATTTAAATTGTTTCTAAGTTATGCTGTGATAATCACCTTTATTTATATAGCTCCCCTACCCACCATTTTGCAATTTTTTTTTTTTTGGATAGGTTCTACGAGGTGGACTCATTGGGCCAAAGAGTTGAATCATCTAATGCCTTTGATGATATATATTCCCACATTCCTTGAATTGTTTTCTAAAAGGATGTTTGTCTATTTATATTCCCACCAACTCTAGCACACTTTTTAGCACTGGGTTCTGGGATTTATTATTTAAAAGTGACCATTTAATAGAGGATGGTCTACTGACCATGGATGAGGATGCCATGTTATTGTTGTATTCTCTCTCTCTCTCTCTCCCTTTCTTCTGTCCCTCCTCCTTTTTGACTTCCTGTGAGGTAGAAGGGTTTGCCACCTGTTAACCACAGCTGAAGGGTTTCCACCTGTTACCATAGTCTCCAATGCTCTAAACTAGACCCTCAGAGTCTCCTGGCATCCGGTGAGTGCCTCTCTGCAGGGATCTAGAGTACGGGAACCTCAGTGTCTCAGAAGACCCTGAGACCCCAAGGTCTCCTCATGTCACACCTGGAAAATGGTGGGGGTGGGGGGAGGTGCCTTAAATGCTCTGCCTGCTTCACGTATTCCAAAAGCCTGCTCCGTACAGCCTCAGTCTGGAGGGGTCCCAGGTATTTTTTTCTTTGACACATTTTGGACTCTCTATACTTGCCACACTCTTTGCTGTCTGAACCATCCTTCAGGCTCAGAAGGATGAGAGCTAGTTTTGTGTCATGGTTCCATAGGGAGCCATCCCAGATATGGCTCTTCAGTTATCTATTACGATGATAGTAGGGAATCCTTAAATGCTGTTCACTGTATCGCTGCTTACGTGCAGTGCACTGAAACAATTCACAACTGGTCTGTCTGTGTGTCAAATCTCTGTCACCTGCTTGGCCACGGGGGCATGCTCGTGACTTTCTAGGCAATCAGGTTCCTCTCCTGGTGAAAATAGGAATATCTTTGTGCCCAATCTGTCAGCAAGCTGGGTCTGCAAACTGGCTCAGGACCTTACTGAATGGCGGGGGGTGGGGGGGGGGACGCACTAGGAGAGGATGGGACATATTCTGAGGCATTGTAGAGGCTGGCGAGATGAGAGTGACTGAGACGGTGGAATGGGTCCCTGATCCCAGGCCTTGAAGTCTTGATTCCTACAGTTCTCCCTTTAATCCTATGCCCTGTCCCCAAACCCTTCTCAGTGTGAGCTGATAAATTCTGTTTTGTGTATTAAGCTAGTTTGACATGGACTCTCTCTAGGTACTTGTAAATAATCTCCACTAACACGTCAGCTATGAATACTTTCCCTATACATTCCTAATTGAGGTCCAAGATATGTACAATATCTTTTTTGTACTTAAGTTTTTATTTTGAAATTATATAGATTCACAGAGTGTTGCAAAAATAGAGGTTTCATATACCCTTCACTGGGATTCTTTCAATAGTGACATGTTATGTAACTATAGTTCAGTATTAGAGCCAGGTAACAGATAGTGGTATAATCCATAACTCCTTTTTGATTATTTTTTAAAGAATGTCTAATTGTACGCTTACAGATGTCAAAGCCTGACTCCTGTGGTCAGGAGATTTACAGGCTAGGAAGAATTACACAAAGCAATTAAGTTCAGGCATGATGAGTGTTACACTGTGGTGGGTGTGGGTGTGGGGTGCTCCCTTCACCAACTTACTATGTCCCTGTAAACCAGGCACTTGGCATTTGTTAACTCTTTTTTTTTTTTTTTTTTGAGGTGGAGTCTCACTCCCTCACCCAGGCTGAGTGCAGTGGTGAGATCTCGGTTCACTGCAACCTCCACCTCCTGGGTTCAAGTGATTCTTCTTCTTCAGCCTCCCAAGTAGCTGGGATTACAGGCGTGCTCCAAACCCGGCTAATTTTTGTATTTTTAGTAGAGAGACAGTTTCACCACGTTGGCCAGGCTGGTCTCGAATTCCTGACCTCAGGCAATCCACCTGCCTTGGTCTCCCAAAGTGCTAGGATTACAAGCATGAGCTACCGCGCCTGGCCTGGCATTTGTTAATTCTTTAGCCTCACAACAACTCCATAACAGCAGTACTGTTAGCATCATCATTCCTTTTGCAAAGAGAAGGAAACAGACACAAAGAAGTTAAGCAACTTGCTTAAGGTTACAAGGTGTTAGGGAGCAGAGATAGAGTTTCATTAAACCCAGGCAGCCTCTACTGGGAGCCCTTCTGCATAAACATTATGCAACAGGACTAACAGGAACGTAGTACAATGCCTTTTCCTGAGCCTTCCTGGACCTTTCACCAATGTTCTACTCCTCTTTCTCCCTCATACCCTCTCCTTTCTGCTTCCCGGGGTTGGACACTTTCACAGCTGCAACCATATTTATGGATCTCTCAGGCTTTGCTGTAACAGGGCCTGGCATTCCCTGGGTACACCTTTCAGAGGTGGGCACCTGCTTCTAAGCAGCAGGTTGGGTGAGAGGGAAAGTCAGTTCTCAGAGGTGGTTGAGAGTGCAGGGTTCTAGCCTCACTTCTCAGGGATTGCTTGTTGGTGGTTTAGTGCTGTAAAACAACAAACAAAACAAATCGAGACCCACCAAAACACCAGGAGAAGTCTTGCACAGCAGAGGAACACGTTTACTTGTCAGTTCATGGCTTCAGTCCCCAGCCCCACAGCGTTGTACATGGTGGAGGTGGCAGTGGTAGTGGGGTTGGGTAATGCCCACAGTGCCTCACTCTGGGGGAGGGCAGGGAGGTGGGCAGGAAGAAGGGCATTTAGGAGGACAGGGCTTGGCGCAGGGCTTGGGAGGGCAGGATGAAGGGGACGCCGAGGGGCAGGGCGGGCACTTGGGTGGTGCTGGACACTTTTCCCGTGGGCACTTTTCAGAGCAGCGTTGCAGCAGCTTCTTTAAACAGCTGGGCTGGCATTTGGACTCACACTTTTGTTCACACTTGGGATCGCAGTTCTTGGGCTCAGTCTTGGGGTCATTTGATTTACTTTTATCATCACTCGACATTGTTTCTTGATTATCTGAGCCCTGCAAGGAAATATGAGATGGGTCGTAGGTGGGAGAGGATTCCTACAGGCTTCTTACAGCTTATCCTTGTACTTAAGAAAGTCTTCCCCCGGATGCGCTCAGGCTCTAGATCATCTTCTCATTTAGGGCCTTGTATGAGTGTGAGAACACATTTCTTAATCTCTCCACCCTCACTCTGCTTTCTTTTCACTTATTCTTGCTTCCATGCCATACACTCTAGTAGGAGTTCTTAACCTAGGGCTTTGGACCCCCCACCTCCCCCGCCCCACTGAAACTGTATTTCAGTAGAGTTGGTGTCTCTGTAACCCCAAATGTTGTATTTAGTTCATTTAGAAACATGATTCCAAGGAGTCCCTAAGTTTGACCAGATTGCTCAAGGCATTCATGGCACAATAGAAGTTTTGCTCCTCTCAGGCCACTTCCCGTTCCTCTGAAGATAGATGGGAGGTACATTAGCAGACTTGGGGGCCTAGGATAGTGCTTTTAATCCTGTGTCCCACCCACGTCCCCTAAACCTTGAGAATTGCTTTCTTTACTCGAGGCCATGGGAGGGAAAGCAATTTAATCCCTGCCACGAGTGGGTTCCCATGGGCTACTCTAGAACTGCCCACTCCTTTGCCTCCATCCAGGTTCTGATAAATAATAGGGTAATGGAAGAAATCAGGAGATGAACCATGAAATTCCAATTTATCTGAAAATCTGAACGACAGAGCCACAAAATATGATTTTCTGTAGGGAATTCCTTTTCTCCCCTGAGTTTTGCCCTGAGCTAGGCATTTCTATATGGACAGTTTAACTCCTAGATATGGACAGGGATTTTCAGTCCCTCATAATACTTCAAGTTGGATCTAATTGGTTATATTTCTTTGATTTCTTTTAGCAACATAAAAATAACATTTTAAATTTTGTTTTAAAATCAGTATAGCTCCCTGGGGAGGCATATTATTAAGCTGAACTCTAAAATTGTTGAGACCCTATTCCAAGGTGAAGTACACACCGATTCTTACCACTGAAAATAACAGGAAACTTTCATTCAAACATGACTTTCCCAACCTGCTCAGTGCGTGGGGTACTTCAGGTCACTCCCAGGAAAGAAGAGGCCAAAGAGTGGCCACTTCCATCTGTCCAAATGCAACTTACCCCTCTGTGTTGGTGGTGAACTTGACAAGCAGTTGAGTGAGGTGGATGTTACGGCTGTGCTGGGGAAGGTGGATTTTCCCTCTGGTTCCTCTGCCCAGCTCTGAGGAAGCTGGGGTCGGGGGCAGGGGCAAGGACCTCCACTTATGAGGTCATTGCAGCATCATTGAGGGGCGATTGTTGTGTGACTCCATAGCTCCCAGCACAACTCAAGCCCTGGACACCAGAATAGAGGCATGATGAACCATCCCCCGCTTGGCTGTCCCACCCCTCCCTAGACCCCTCAACATTCAGGCCGGTAAAATGAGGCTGCAGTGAAGGGTCCTAGGCTCTGAGGATGGGAGGCTCGTTGTTGATAGGAGCAGAAAAGCTGGCCCACTGTTAACACATGGTCTCTAGCTCCTCTTCCACACCCAAAGTTTAATTCCTCTGAACCTGCCCCTTTCCCACCTTTCTAGGAAAACAACCCTGAATTGATCACAGCCATTTTGACATTCTTCTTTTCTTTATTTTTCTTTCTTTTTTTTTTTTTGTGTAATATGTGTTTAATTTTTTTTAACTTTTTTTATTTTTTATTTTTTATTATTATACTTTAAGTTCTAGGGTACATGTGCATACCCGGCGAGAGCTGAAGCAGGGCAAAGCATTGCCTCATCTAACATTCTTTTCTTTATTTTTCTAATGTGAGATTCTGAAACTTCTTCTTACCACTCCACACAATTGGGTTAGCCCCAGATCCTGCCTTAGGGCAAAAAGGTTTGCCTCTCAGAATTCCTTCCTTACCTTTTTTAAAGGCCTGACCAGGGTCTTTGTGGTTGGAATTGGGGTGTTTCAGGAGTGGCAATGGGAGGCTGGAGTGAGAAAGGTGGGTAGGCTTAGACACAGGGTGCCTGAACTCAGGTTTAAGAGGTTCATCCCGGCAGTCATCACGAATGAATCACGAGTGCCTAAGATATTGAAATATTAGGATGGATTGGGAGATGGGGTGGTAAAGTAGAAGCTGAATGAGACTGTTTTAAAGAAATTATGAAAATCTCCACATCTGAAGGAAGGCAGTCATGGGTCTGGGTGCCCATGAGAAAGGCCTCATTAAACAGGCAGATTCATGGGACTTATTTACTCACTGCAGAAAATTAAGAATTGAAGATGACTCCAGAGCAAAAGGGCTGCTTCCCAATGTACTAGAAGCCAATACGATGACACCAGCTTTTCGAGAAAAGAAAAGCTTTTCACTGCAACTCGACCATCAAGGAGACAAGAGTCCAGCTCGAATCTGTCTCCCTGTGCTGGCTTTAAGGCAGCGATTTTATTGGGAAGGGTTTAGGGATTAGATTCTGGGGTTAGTAGGTGATTGGTGGAAGGCAAAGGGAGGTCTGGAAAAAGTCCTCGGGCATGGGAAGTTATCTCTTCATGCTGCCTCATGGGTCATGTGTGCAAATTCGAGGAGAGTCAGTATGAAACGTGTGGTGGAAATTCGTGACATCAGCACGCTTTTTCTGTGCAGACTCCAGTCTGTCAGTCTGCCATATTGGCTCCAAAGACTTCAGCCAATTTTGTTATCTGACAAGTGGAGAGAGTTTCAGCATTTTAGCAAGTTGTTCTTTTTTTAAAATCTGCCATCATGTAAACTCAAGAATTTGTGTTAGTCGCCAGTTTCTTTAACTCTTTGGGACAATGTTTCACCAGGTTTTGGGGTGTTAGTGTTACTGTTAATAAGAGCTGAGGAAACAGGAGAACAGATTTGTGCTAAAAGAATATGGGTTTAAGTGTGAGAAGAGTGTCGTTAGAATGAAGGCTCTTGGGTGGTTACTGGAAATATGGCTCTGGCCCTTGGGCCACTGGGGAGACCTGAGGCCTTCAGTTCATTTCAGTTCAACAAGTGTTTATTGAATAGATGATCATGAGATGACAATGGAGAAGCCTCATATAGGGTTTATTCACAAGGATAAATAATGCCATATTCAATGAAACCTCAGATGAACCTAAATAGAAGGGGAGAATGGGTTGGGATTTAACCCCCATCACTGGAATAATTGATGTTAGAGTCATAGTCCTGGTGCAGCCCACTCCTCCCATAAGAATTTCCTCGTTCTTCCATAATTTTGTTCATCAGCTCTCTCTCCTCAAAGTGGTTGAGAAGCAGCTCTCACCCCCATCTCAGGAGACCCAGCCTCGCCTGATGTTCAGCTCTGGACCAAAGCTACCAATCTAGATATAGAGATGGCAGTCATTTGTGACAGCAATGTAAAAAATGTAGTGACTTCTACTAGCCATTGTTATCTTTCTCTTTCTCCTTTCTTCCCTTTCCTATTTCTTGCTCAAGAATTTCTCAGTGAATGAAAGTATACCAGTCACTGGACTCAGCAGGACACCATTTGCCCATGATCTTTCTAGTATTTAAAACCCTCCTTTGTAAAGGTCAGCACTCCTGGCAGTGTTACATTTGGTATCCCAGCTACCAGCCTTACCTTTCACTTAGGGTTTGGTGGCTAAGTGATTGCCTTCCCTGGCTGGAAGGAAGCACTACAAAACACAGAGCAGGCTTCTCAGGCTGCTGGGCCTCCACAAGAGAGACTGGAAGAAGAGATAAATGTCAAAGCCCGGCTTGCCTAGATTAGGGTTAGAAGAGGACTCTGAAGTCAGATTTCTGGGTTTAAATCCTGCTTTTGCTAGGTGCAGTGGCTCACACCTATAATCCCAGCACTTTGGGAGTCCGAGGCGGGCGGATCGCGAGGTCAGTAGTTTGAGACCAGCCTGGCCAACATGGTGAAACCCTGTCTCTACTAAAAATACAAAAATTAGTTGGGTGTGGCGGCGCATGCCTGTAATCCCAGCTACTCGGGAGGCTGAGGAAAAAGAATCGCTTGAACCCAGGAGGCGGAGATTGCAGTAAGTCAAGATCACCCCATTGCACTCCAGCCTGGGCAACAGAGCGAGACTCTGTCTTGAAAAAAAAAAAAAATCTTGCTTTCATCCTTTACTTGCTGAACAACCCCTAGTAACTTACTTAACCATCCAGGTCTCAATTCCTTCATCTATAAAATGATATAATGCCACTATCATCTTAAGATAATGTATAATTTACATTGATTGCTCATAACATGCCAGGCATATTTGCAAGTGCAAAACCTACACCCTCTTCAATTATAGTGCCTCACTAGACTCATAGAATTGTAAAGACTGGAGATGCCATGTATGAAGTACCCCCCAAAAATGTTTGTTATTCATATTATTGTTTTTGTCAACACTGGCCATGCGTCTTCATTGGTTTGCTGAACCTCTCTCTCTGTGTCTTCATTTCTGTCTCATTCTCTCACTCTCATTTTCTGGTGTTGGCCCTATAATCCTACTTCTCCAACTCAACATTTTCCTCAGACCTCTTCTCCATAGCGTTTTTTTTTTTTTTCCCCCCGGCCTTCCAGCCAAAGCTCCTGGTGGTGTTCACAGTAAGATTAGATATTTTAGTATTAACTATTCATGGATGATTTCACTTTTGAGTAGGAAGGGTTGATATCAATGTTATTGATAAAAGATAGTAACTTAATTTAGGCCAAAAAAGTCATCGGCCATTCAGTGGTTCCTCTGTGTGTGTCCGAAGGCCCTGTATGTCTGCATATTGTATCAGCCCAGGGACATGCTATAAATCAGCAATTTCAACTCCATTAGGATCCGCCTCACTGCTTTTTTGGCAAAGTATTTCTATTTTTTCCCCTGCCTTTTTCTATCTCTCTGTATAATTCTTCTTGGACAAGCAGAATCTGCATGATAGTCAGAAAGCAACTCTATTTCTTCTCTTGATGCCTCTTAAAACCCTCTCTATGGGGCTGGCTCTTCCCTTCCTCTTGGAGTGAAATCTCTAGCAGATGCCCTTGACTTTTAGAATCATGGTAAGAGATAGCATGATTTCTTACTTCTGGTTACATAAAAAATCACTTCTATTTACATAAAAAAATCTTATTTCAGTAATCGGAAGGTCTTCCCTTGAATGCTGGATTTCCTTTTCTTTCCTACTTGGTACTACTGCAGGAAGGAAGGCTGCACAGAAAATAAGAGTATCTTCTCTATTAGCTACTAGAGGTTTTTAATTTTCTTCCCTTGCTCACCCAGCTACCTCTTGTCCATGTGGGTAGGGGCTGCAAAGGAATGAGAAAGAAAGACCTGAAAACTTTCTGAACTGGCATAAGAGCTTTCTGGGCTTGGCAGGTGCTTACGGCTGACCTTTCTCCTGTGGAGAACTTGAATGTGTTCTTCACAGACTTTCCCCTCCCTGCTGGCTGGGTGTTGGCCATGGTTCTTTAGTATGACAGGCAAGTCTGCTTTGTCTAGCTGTGCATGGCTCCTGCAGCGCCTAGGCATTGGCAAGCTCTCCTACAGCTTCTCTTGGCTGGTATTCCTCATCTTCACCTCCTGGACAGGATTTTAGA